GGTTTAAAAAAAGGGGGTTTTGGGGTTTTTTAAAAAAAAAAAAATTTTTTTTTTAAAGGGGGGGAAAAAAAAAATTTTTAAAGGGGGGGTTTTTTTTTTTTAAAAAGGGTTTTTTAAAAAAATTTTAAAAATTTTGGGAATTTTTTTGGTTTTTTTTTAAAAAAAAAAATTTTTAAAAGGGAAGGGAAAATTTTTAAGGGGGGAAGGGGGGGGGAAAAAAAAGGGGTTTAAAAATTTTTTGGGAAAAGGGGTTTGGGGAAAAAAGGGGGTTTTTTTTTGGGGGGGTTTGGGGGGAAATTTTAAAATGATTTTTTTTAAAATTTTTTAAATTTTTAAAAAAAAAAAGGGGGGGGTTTAAAAATTTTGGGTTTTTTTGGGGGGGAAAAAAAAGGGAAAAAAAAGGGTTTTTGGGAGGGGTTTGGGGGAATTTTTTTTTTTAAAAAAAATTAAAAATTTAAAAGGGGGGGTGGGGGGGAAAAAAATTTTAAAAAAAAAAAATTGGGAATAAAAAGGGGTTTTAAAAGAAAAAAAAAAAAATTTTTGGGGGGGTTTTGGGGGGGTTTTTTTTTTTGGGGGGGGGTTAGGGGGGGGGGGGAAAAAAAAAAAGGGGGTTTAATTGGGGGGGGAAAAAAAAAAATTTTTTTGGGGAAAAAAAATTTAAAAAAAAAAATTTTAGGGGTTTTTTTAAAAAGGGGGAGGGGGGGTTTGGGGGGGGGGGGGGAAGGGTGGGGTTTTTTGGGGGTTTTGGGGGGGGTTTTTTTTGGAGTTTTTTGGGGGGGGAAAAAAAAAAGGGGGGAAAAAAAAAAGGGGGGGGGGAAAAGGGGGTTTTAAAAAAAAGGTTTAAAATTGGGGGGGAAAAAAGGGGTTTTTTGGGGGGAAAAAAAGGGGTTGGGGGGGGAAAGGGGGGGGGGGGGGGGGGGGTTGGGGGGTTTAAAGGGGGGGGGGGGGGGAAAAAAAAAAAGGGGGTTTTGGGACCGGGGGGGGGCGGGAAAAAATTTTTTTTTAACTTTCGGGGGGGGAAAAGTAAAGGGGAAAGGGGGGGGGGTTTTTTGGGGGTTTTGGGGTTATTTTTTGGGATTTTTTAAGTTTTTTTCCCCCCCTTTTTGTTTTTTTTTGGGGGAAAATTAAAAAAAGGGGGGGGGAAAAATTTTTTTTTTGGGGGTTTTTTTTTTTGGGGGGGAATTTTTTTTTTTTGGGGGCCCCCCGGGGGGAAAAAAAAAAAAAAAAAAAAAAAAAAAAAAAAAAAAAAAAAAAAAAAAAAAAATTTTTTTAAAATTTATATATATATAAATATATATATATATAAAAAATTTATATATTTATTTATAAATATATATATTTTTTTTTTTTGGTTTTTGGGGTTTTAAAAGGTTTAAAAAAAAAAAAAGGAAAAAAAAAAAATTTTAAAAAATTTGTTTTTAAATTTTTTTTTAAATTTTTTGGAAAAAATTTTTTTAAAAATTTCCCAAAAAAAAAAACCCCAAAAAAAATTTTTTAAAAGTGGAGATGTCCTGTTTAAGGGCAATGTGTGGTGTAAATATTATGCAGAAAATTTGGAGTGTGGAAATTAGGAGAAGGTGTGGAGTTAATAAAAGTATTGTCAGAGGGCAGAAGAGGGGTTGTTGAGGTGGTTTGGTCATTTAGAGAGAATGGATAAAAAGTAGAATGACATGGAAAGCATATAAATCTATAGGGGAAGGAAGGCGGTGTAGGGGTCGTCCTCGAAAGGGTTGGAAGAGGGGGGGTTTAAAGGAGGTTTTGTGGGTAAGGGGCTTGGACTTCCAGCAAGCGTGCGTGAGCGTGTTAGATAGGAGTGAATGGAGACGAATGGTACTTGGGACCTGACGATCTGTTGGAGTGTGAGCAGGGTAATATTTAGTGAAGGGATTCAGGGAAACCGGTTATTTTCATATAGTCGGACTTGAGTCCTGGAAATGGGAAGTACAATGCCTGCACTTTAAAGGAGGGGTTTGGGATATTGGCAGTTTGGAGGGATATGTTGTGTATCTTTATATGTGTATGCTTCTAGACTGTTGTATTCTGAGCACCTCTGCAAAACAGTGATAATGTGTGAGTGTGGTGAAAGTGTTGAATGATGATGAAAGTATTTTCTTTTTGGGGTTTTTCTTTCTTTTTTGGGTCACCCTGCCTCGGTGGGAGACGGCCGACTTGTTGAAGAAAAAAAAAAAAAAAAAAAAAAAAAAAAAAAAAAAAAAAAAAAATATAATAATGTGTATATATATTATAATATATATATATATATATATATATATATTTTATATATATATATATATATTATATTATTTTATTTTATGTATGTATATGGCTAACTGCTCTGTACGGAAATACAATATGTTCCTCAAAGGAAAATACGTAATTATACAAGGATAATAAAGTATAAATGTAATTGAATCTCTCGTATTAAATTTTTTAATTGCTAGAGCTGAAAATATGACAATATCATTTCACATATGTAGCTATCAGAAAACTATCCATGCAACTATGCAAAGACTAGCATCTTTTACAAAATTTCATTTAACCTTTAATATTAAGTCATTCCAATTCTAGCTCAGTTTATGGTTTGAGTTAGTCCTCCAAAAATTAACAAAAAAACAAAAAATATTGTTCTGATTGGAGCCTAAGCTTTGTAGGGAAGTGACTTGAGGTGTAACACTCAAACACCAGATAACCATGTACCTTGTGGTTCACATGCAACCATTCAAATACTTATGTCAGACATCACAAGCAAGGAGGTGGGCAAAACACTAAGATGTTTACTGAATAATTGTTATTTTCGAAACATTATCAAACAGTATACTAAACGAAAGTTATATGTCGTTACCCTTTCAGTTTCTTAACTATGGAATTATGTGATGATAATCTGCAAATACTTGTTTTACAGAATTATATAGGAGAATCCTTGGATACAATACATGCCCTCCTCCTAGCCTTACTCCAGCAATTCTCTAAAGTAACACTGAGTATTTTGGAGCAATGGAAACTGATTTTAAACATATCAAAACTTTGATCATGCTCGCAACAAACAAACAGATGCTAAGGACTAAAATAACTATAGAACGATGTAGGACGCCCGGAGAGCTTGAGGCTGAGTGCTGGAAACTTACCATCTGTAGAGCGTCAGACGTGAAATAGATACCAGTGTTAAGCTCAGTAGCGCAGTAGCACCGGTGTTAAAGCACACTAGCACACACATATTTATTATCTTACAATAAAAGGACAAAAAAAATAATATAAAGAAAAAAAGGAACAAGGATAACACCACAACACATCAAAAGCTAACTGGCTATAAGTCTGCTCTAACACCGGTATAAAACTGCATTAGCAATGAAAAAAGAGAAAGAGAGGTCTGAACTGGTCAACATCACTTGAGTCCCTAAGTAAATGAAGAATTTTATAATTTATTTAAATACATGAAGTAACTATATTATACAAGTTAATAGTTGTATGAAAAGGTAATTATTTTCTCGACTATACTGAATATAAATATAAAGAATGACAGCAATAAGATCTTTATTTTTATAAAAATAATCGTCTATGGCAGCATAAACTAATATTAAATAATCCTGTGGTTAAAAAAGTTTTAAAACTTAATTTTCTAATGCTAGACTGGAAAATGTAGCATTAGAGTTTATGCTCTCAACAACAGTTAGGATAGTTAACTCATGATACATGCACACAAATTTTATCAAGCACTGATTAATTTGCAATGAAAATCACTGAAGATTTAGCCAATATATACCACTTCATTACTCACTGAGCTAATGCATGACCACTTATCTTAATTGAATTTCATAAAGATCAATATTAATTCAGTCTAAGTACTCATTACAATTCACACTACATACACTTCATGACTGATGAACAGAGCTCAGGCTTTCTAATAATTTAAGAGTATTATACAGTACTGATGAAATGGCCTGCTTACTTAGAGATTGCTTGACTGATTAAAACTAAACATGCACTCTTGTTGGCATATTCAAGGGGAATTTCTTGTTAATATAATACATGCAACTATTGAATGAACAGGTAGGTAAACTAGTAATTACTCAAGTGCTGTTTCAGAGTTCGGGCCAGAGAACAGCCTTATGGTCACACAGGGGCTCAAATCACCTTTGCCTTAGCCAGCTAGCAGCTTCCTCAGACTCACACTGAGGTTTAAAAGAAGCTCTGAGGGGTATTCTAAAACACAAGTGTAAGAGGAAATAAAAAGTTATGGGAAGCATACTCTACAATGAGAAATTTACCAGTAACACCCTGGAGATTATAATAAAGTCTATATTAGCCATTTTCCTCAAAAAGTAAAAAAAAAAAAAATAAAAAAAATTAAATGCCTGATTCTTGCAAATTATTTCTGAATACTGTACTCAAAATTATTATTATATGACCTTTACAGAAAAGTTGTATGTATCATGACTGGAATCCTCATGCACTTGGAATTGATTTTTTCATAATGCATTTCAAGGGCAAAAAACTCTTGAAATTCGTTACTGTTTTTTTTTTTTAACAAATTCATAACATAGTGCAACACAGTTGCACTACCTTAAACTATTTAGTAGAATATTAGAAATATGGATAAGGTAAAGAACAGGTTGGGGGGGGGGGACATGGAACACAAAATTAACACATCTTACATCTACTTTTGGTACTGCAATAGTAATAATACCCTACACACTACAGTAACAAATATCCTAGTTGTGTAAGCATATTTATCACTGGTGCCCAACAACAATCTCAAAAACAAATTTGTGCCATCACAACTGCTGCTGCAATACTGCACAGGGATTAAGAGTTAAAAGTCTAGCTTGAAAGCAGCTAATAACGTAATAATAGGTGCCTTTTCATGTTTCTTACTAGCTAAAAATTAACTGGGTGCACACTAAGTGTTAGCATGTTTATCTGGGTGTAAAGGTCCAAACAATGATGATGCAGTACTACTAAACATCAGCAAAGTCATTAAAACTGTTTTAAATCACACATACCTTCTTCTTGAGTGCATTGAAGTTATCAATGATAACACCAATGAAGAGGTTGAGTGTAAAAAATGATCCACACACAATGAAGATAACAAAATAGATATAAGCATAGATATTAGCTTCTCTGTCAGGTTGCTTATCAATTCCTCTACAATCCACAGCATCTGCCATCACTTCCATCCATCCCTCAAAGGTTGCCTGCATTAATGGTAGTATTATCATCATCAGTCTTTTAATGAAATATGCAATGCCACATTGTAGAAACAAGGAATAGATATAAATGAATGAAAAAAATGAAAATTTTATAATATTTGTTATGCTTAGCATATAATAAAATGCACCTTTTGTGTACAAGGCTAAAACTAGTAAATCCAAATTTGACCTTACCACTTGAAAAAGGGCCAGATAAGCATAGCCCACATGATCAAAATTTATCTTGCTGTTAATCCAACTGTAGTTTTTCTTCAAACACTCACTCTTGTTTTCAACCACCTGAAACAAAGGCACGTTACTATATATAAACATAAAATAAAAATATAGGTTTACTACTTTAATGTATTTAGCAAAATATGAAATTCATACATAATTCATGCCACCAGTCAACAGGCAAACAAACAAAAAAATAAAACCTAGAAAATATATACGAGAACAGCAAGAAAATAAAATGAGTTTTTTATTACTTTACCTTCAATGGCAATATTTCTCCAGTCTTTCGGTCAATGCACTTATAAAATTTTCCTCCAAACATCTGAACACCCATGATGGAGAAGATTAGCCAAAAAACAAGGCATACGAGCAACACGTTGAAAATGGACGGGATAGCATACATGAGTGCATTCACCACTATCTGTTGAAAAGCAGTATGTTGATAAGCTTCATATTATAATCAAAACTGAACTACACATTTACCTGCCAGATTTAGAACAGTATTCAATGTGAATTAATAAAAACTTCTCTGAAATAACAATCATTTTTGTTTTTTCAGTTTACTGATTAACAGAACAGACTAGGTTTAATTCTTACATTTGCCATGCATGAAGACCTATATAACCCTAATTTCCTTCTGTTTGGACCACACTGACTGGGATTTTTCATACCAGGGTAACCCTGGCATAGAAATGAGACTAACTCCTATATTTACCATACACAGACCTATTGTACACCTCTCTTGCCCACTTGCCTGGAAACCGAGGCTGCTGCTTAAGTGATGATCCATCAATGGGCAACATTTTTCTTTGATAAAGGGACAGATGAAATGTACCAAGGTTAGTACTGGCCCAGCTAAATCAATCGCCTTATGCAGTACTTCAAAGCAATATAATGGTTTGCTTATGCAGGTGTTGCCGAAATGCATAATTTTTCTCTTGGTTCGCAGTCAGCTTGTGAATAATGGGAACCCTAGATTATGAGTTCAGGTAGTGCTAGGTGGATGAGGCAATGCTGAGCCTGCCGGCAGTTTGACTAGTCAAGGAAACAGTAAATGGTAGACAGCCTTTGGGTCATGTGACTACTCCGTTGATGGTGGGTGTCAACTTGCTAAAGGTGTTTACAGCAAAATGCAGTCTAAGTAAGGGCTTACCCTGCACATAATGTCCTTCTACAATAATATCATTGACTGGCCATGGGAACTCTCTCTACACATTATACAACTAACTTCGCATTGTGTGCACATAGGATGCTTCACAAGCGACTGTGCACAAAAAACTCTCAGCAATGGCTGACATATTTGTTCATGTCAGTTGCAAAGTAAAATTAATACTGTTTTGAGGGATGGCCAATGTCCTTCAGACAGTATTCATTAAATAATCCATACAGTGTGTGATACCTACAGTCAACTTGAACTTCAAGGCTTTTCTGTCACCAGAGTGGAGACCATTCAACTCCTCTCATGATCACTGCCGTAATTTGAATGATGTAACCCTAGTCATGCTTGACTGTCACTTTCTCTGATGAATGAGCAGTAGCTCCAATTCCTTGGATCAAGAATCCTTCACCAAGCATCAAGGCACTCCCTTAAATGGCAATCTTCGACCACCAAACAATGAGCAAAGTAAGTAACAATCAATTGTGTTTGCCTCTCAAATGCAGTCTACTGAGCTACAAGGACCTACTACCTCAGTAAACTACTGTACAAGAAAAATCTCTTAATATCACATACAATTTGTACAACTTCACCTAAGCAGAAATTCCATGACAATACAAGGCTCATAAACAGGGATTATCTGGCTAAAAGCCATAAATCACAACCAGAATTTTAACATAAATCTTTCTTTCAATGCGCTGGCTGCATCCCACCAAGGTGGGGTGGCCCAAGAGGAAAAATGAAAGTTCCTCCTTTTAAATTAATAATATATACAGGAGAAGGGGTTACTAGCCCCTTGCTCTCGCATTTTAGTCGCCTCTTACAACACGCATGGCTTAAGGAGGAGAATTCTGTTCCACTTCCCCATGGATTTTAACAAAAATATCAGAGAAAACTGTCAGTACATATAAATTTAGCTGATGTGTTAAAAAAAATATTATACGTTATAGCATATTACATATTATACGTATTACATATTATACGTATTACATATTATACGTATTACATATTATACGTATTACATATTATACGTATTACATATTATACATATTACATATTATACGTATTACATATCATACGTATTACATATTATACTGTGGACTCTCCCTTTTCGTTTGGCTCTGTTTTCGCGAATTTCAATTATCACCAACTTTTTTCGTAAAAAATACTGGCTCAGTTTTCGTTACTTTCCTCCGCTCTCGTTGGTGGTATGATACACGTTTGTGTGCCACGTGCACGCAAAGCCTCCCACACACGCATTCTGAGTCAGTGTCGCTTTCTTTCTATGGTGAGTAAACATTATCCTGAGAGGTCATAGGAACATTTCATAATAATTCATTATCTTTTGCACTTGCTTATTCTGTGTGACTGCTATATAAGCCACCATGGGCCCAAAGAAAGCTGCTTTACCCTTTGGTAAAGAAGGTGAGGAACACGATAGAATTAAAGAAATCATTTGAAAGTATGAAAGTGGCTTACGTGTGGCCAAAATCGCAAGGATGCACGCCAAGCCTGCATCAACCATCAGTTTCATTGTGGAGAAGAAAAAAGAAATCAAGGAAGCTGATGTTGCAAAAGTGGTAAAAGTGACAACAAAACAGAGGTCATAAACACTTGAAGATGTCAAGAAATTGTTGTTGGTATGGATCAATGAGAAACAATTTTGGGGAGATAGTCTTGTGCAGTCGATAATTTGCGAAAAGGACAAGGCAGTTGTATATTATTTTATTATTATTATTATCACACTAGCCGATTCCCACCAAGGCAGGGTGGCCCGAAAAAGAAGAACTTTCACCATCATTCACTCCATCACTGTCTTGCCAGAAGGGTGCTTTACACTACAGTTTTTAAACTGCAACATTAACACCCCTCCTTCAGAGTGCAGGCACTGTACTTCCCATCTCCAGGACTCAAGTCCGGCCTGCTGGTTTCCCTGAATCCCTTCATAAATGTTACTTTGCTCACACTCCAACAGCACGTCAAGTATTAAAAACCATTTGTCTCCATTCACTCCTATCAAACACGCTCACGCATGCCTGCTGGAAGTCCAAGCCCTCGCACACAAAACCTCCTTTACCCCCTCCTCCAACCTTTCCTAGGCCGACCCCTACCCCGCCTTCCTTCCACTACAGACTGATACACTCTTGAAGTTATTCTGTTTCGCTCCATTCTCTCCACATGTCCGAACCACCTCAACAAACCCTTCTCAGCCCTCTGGACAACAGTTTTGGTAATCCCGCACCTCCTCTAACTTCCAAACTACGAATTCTCTGCATTATATTCACACCACACATTCTCTCAGACATGACATCTCCACTGCCTCCAGCCTTCTCCTCGCTGCAACATTCATCACCCATGCTTCACACCCATATAAGAGGTTTGGTAAAACTATACTCTCATACATTCTCCTCTTTGCCTCCAAGGACAAAGTTCTTTGTCTCCACAGACTCCTAAGTGCACCACTCCACCTTTTCCCCTCATCAATTCTATGATTCACCTCATCTTTCATAGACCATCGCTGACACGTCCACTCCCAATATCTGAATACATTCACCTCCTCCATACTCTCTCCTCCAATCTGATATCCAATCTTTCATCACCTAATCTTTTTGTTATCCTCATAACCTTACTCTTTCCTGTATTCACTTTCAATTTTCTTCTTTTGCACACCCTACCAAATTCATCCACCAATCTCTGCAACTTCTCTTCAGAATCTCCCAAGAGCACAGTGTCATCAGCAAAGAGCAGCTGTGACAACTCCCACTTTTGTGTGTGATTCTTTATCTTTTACTCCACGCCTCTTGCCAAGACCCTCGCATTTACTTCTCTTAAAGCCCCATCTATAAATATATTAAACAACCACGGTGACATCGCACATCCTTGTCTAAGGCCTACTTTTACTGGGAAATAATTTCCCTCTTTCCTAATACTCTAACTTGAGCCTCACTATCCTCGTTAAAAAACTCTTCACTGCTTTCAGTAACCTACCTCCTACACCATACACCTGCAACATCTGCCACATTGCCCCCCTATCCACCCTGTCATACGCCTTTTCCAAATCCATAAATGCCACAAAGGACCTCTTTAGCCTTATCTAAATACTGTTCACTTACATGTTTCACTGTAAACACCTGGTCCACACACCCCCTACCTTTCCTAAAGCCTCCTTGTTCATCTGCTTTCCTATTCTCAGTCTTACTCTTAATTCTTTAATAATAATTTACCATACACTTTGCCAGGTATATCAACGGACTTATCCCCTATAATTTTTGAAATCTCTTTTATCCCCTTTGCCTTTATAAAAAGGGAAAACTATGCATGCTCTCTCCCAATCCCTAGGTACCTTCCCCTCTTCCATACATTTATTAAATAATTGCACCAAACCACTCCAAACTATACCCCCACCTGCTTTTAACATTTCTATCTTTATCCCATAAATCCCGGCTGCCTTACCCCTTTCATTTTACATTGCCTCACGAACTTCCCCCACACTCACAACTGGCTCTTCCTCACTCCTACAAGATGTTGTTCCTCCTTGCCCTATACACGAAATCCAGCTTCCCTATCTTCATCAACATTTAACAATTCCTCAAAATTTTCCCCTCCATCTTCCCAAATCCCTCTAACTCTCCATTAATAACTCTCCTATTTTTAACTGACAAATCCATTTGTTTCTAGGCTTTCTTAACTTGGTTAATCTCACCCAAAACTTTTTCTTATTTTCAACAAAATTTGTTAATAAACATCTCACCCACTCTCTCATTTGCTCTCTTTTTCTTGCTTCACCACTCTTTTAAACCTTCTCTCTTTTTCTCATTACTTTCCCTCCTTGCATCACTTCTACTTTGTAAAAACTTCTCAATGTAACTTTTTTCCCTTACTACTCTCTTCACATCATCATTCCCAATCGCCCTCTTCCTCCCGCACCCTTTCCTGTAACCACAAATTCTGCTGACACTCTAACACTACTTTTTTTAAACCTACCATACCTCTTCGACCCTTTTCCTTTGCTCTCATTGCCATCTATCCTCCAATAGCTGTTATATCTTACCCTAACTGCCTCCTCTTTTGTTTTAAACCTTCCCTCTCTCTTCCTGATGCTTCTATTCCCCTTGTATCCATCTACCTTTTACTCTCAGTGTAGCTACAAACTAGAAAGTGATCTGATATATCTGTGGCCCCTCTATAAACATGTACCTCCTTTAAGTCTATTTAACAGTCTTTTATTTTACCAATACATAAACCAACAAACTACTGTCATTTGC